ATATGTTATGGGGATAAATAGAAGGAAACAGAATAAATTATATTTTACAACAAGAAATTCGGTTACAACATTTCGAGAAATCATATTATGTATGAAAAATTATATGAAAGATTTTTGAATATGGCCATTGACAATCCGCTCAGACCAGTAAATTATTATTAAAACAACAAGATAACCACAACAGTCACCCGTGGCTGCACAATGTGGCGATACTCTACTCAACCAATATTATTTGTATCTATGAAGCTGTTCCACGTCGTATTTATAAAATTAATTAGGATCTTGAACTACGTTAAATTATATGCAATTCGAAATAAGTGATCAGATGATAGCGCGGCTATACATCATGGCAGTGCGACTCAAACAATTAGGCCTGGGTCGTATCGCGTTTTCTGAGAATCGTATCTAAATCAGATTTCGAGTTTCAATATCTGATATCAAAACTATATATTTAAATATCTATATATTCTGCGTACACTTGTTTATATTTTCTACTCTTATACTCTACTTATAGTTACTCTTACCTATTCGGTGCGAATCAGTATTGTAGATATATTATAGCTTTATATTATGTTATCTTCTTGAAGCTAATGCAGATATAGTTGTAGTTTTAACTTTATTATTTTAAAGTTTTGAACTAGTTATTTATTTACAACACTTGATACTCAATTAAAATAGTTCAATAAAATATATTATATAAAATAGTAGGTATTTAGAGTGTCTTTATTATTTATTTACATTACAAATTGCATTTAAAAGGATAAAAATTGCAACTTTCTCCTTCCACTACATTTATTCTGGCAGATCTGTTAGAACTAAAAATAAATTGAAAATTCTATATAAAATAATGTTATAAAATGCACTCGATTTTAGACCTAAAAAAAACAATCAGATTTGAAATTTATCATTATTAGGCAACATAAGTTAAACTTTAAATTCTTACATCTATGATTAAAGTTAATGAAATAACTTTGTAACGTAACGATGTCATAAAAATAGTTCGTAAAGTTATGTTGATTAGGTTCTAAATCATATACTATTGGGTTACGCGACTGGGAAGCAATAGCTGTACCGCTCCTACTACTGTATTTTGTCTCGGCCGGAAGTATTTAAATAAAGATGGTTAATATATCTTTTAACTGTTAAAATAAACAGTTAAGAAAATTACAAAATTATTTAATAAATAAAATAAACGATAATGAATAAAATTATAATATTCCAGTCCGTTCAAAATCATCCACGATCGATTTCTTACCTAGCCGTATTTATGCCATCTAGCGTCTTCTTTACGTTACACCTTGAGAGTCAATCAATTTTCGTTCGATAAAATGACTTTACCCATAGGATGGAGTAGATGGCGGTTTACAAAGCAATTTTATGATTTATTACTCTTACCTATTCGATTAACATTCACATGTCTAAAAATAAGGATTGTAACAATTATTTGCTAAATATATATACTTAAAGTCAAACTTATATCCAATATTTTATGCTGAACTTGTTTTTGACAATTATCATATTAAATAAATCGTTTGCGGTTAAATCCTTTGAAGTGTTGTTTTTATTAAAACGTACGAAATGATATTTTTAACACATAGATGTAACGCTATTGACTGAATTCATTAGTGGTTGATGTTAAATGATTTAAACAAAGGGGCGCCAGTTTAATATTAATTTGTTTAGTTTACATTTTAAAATATTACAAGGGATTTATATAAAAACTTGAAAAATAATTACTAGGGAAGTTAATTAAGATTAAGTGAAATTGTTTTTTTTTTATTATTTAGTGTAGTGTACAAATATAAGATTTCAGTAAGTCTTTAATTTTCCGCCATGTCTAATCTAATACCCATATTGCTCGCACTCTGTCGCACACGGCGAATCTAGCCACCGACCGATGGGAAACGATTTAGGCATCGCGGCGGTACACAATATTCAGATTTTGTAATAGATAATTTTCGAACGAACCAGTATAATATGTATATCGCTCGCGCTCCGTCGCACACGGCAAATCAAGCCACCGACCGATGCGGAGCGATATAGGCATCGCGGCGGTACGCAAATATCAGATTTTGTAATACATAGTTTTAAAACGAACCAGTAAGAGGTTTTTAGATATTGTACCAATATATAGATTTCGTATCAGTATACGGTTTGCATCGCCCACTTCTACAAACTATATTATTTGTCTTAAACGTTGTTCCCCATCGCATCTACTAACCGTGACCGGAATGTAAGGTACGGCGTGGCTCAACCCATATATACAATACACTGCTTTATTCTGCACAATATATACGGTATCACTCATTACATAATGTCACTAACACTACACAATACTTGGTACACGTCTGTCGGTATACACGTATTAACAGAGATGTCGCCTTCTCGCTGGTTACAATTCAACTGCCCGATGTTCACACGGCGGGCTGTATTTATACCCCAGTAGTGACGACTCACTACCGTTTATCTATACACTACAAGACGTTTGTCTATACACTACATCTCTTCCTTTTTCTTAATATTTTTTATTTCTGGTTACATGCATGATCAGTAGTTGCTTTAACTTTTACAGAATCAGTTTAGATTATTCTTCAATAATCATTCTTATTTCATTAGTGTTATTGTCTGTTACTTCTTCATTCAAATTGGGTACATTTCCTTCTTGTGCATCGTTAACTACTTTCCACTCTCCTTCAATTTTTTTTAAGTGAACTACATTTCGTCGATATTACAATACAATACAATACAATACAATAACTTTATTTCAGGCATCAAGGACTTAAAAATTAAGAACATTGGCCCATAGCAATTTGTGTATTCGTATCATTATTGCAAATCACTACGTCTCCAGTGTTGTTAGTAGTTTTTACAACAGTATGTATGTCTGGAGAAAAGCTTGGTGTAAGCTTATTTTCTTAATTTTTTACAATTACCTTATCACCTTCATTTATGCTGTGATCTTTGGCCTTTCACTTGCGGTCACTGTAATTTTTCTCTGCTTCTTTTTGCAATGCGTCTTTGTCCCTAACTTCTGAATCGTCTTGTTTATTTTCAATATCTATGTATGATGGAATTTTATCCCGAAATTGTCGTTTGTGGAATAGTTCAGATGGAGTTTTACCAGTCACTGAGAGGGGTGTGCTATTGTACATCATCAGGTAGTAAAATAAATCTTCTTTCCAATTATTTCTTTCCACTTGACTGATTTTTAAGCGTTTTAGAATACTTCGGTTTTGCCTTTCCACTTCTCCATTCTGTTGGGGCCAATATGGTATTGTGTTGTGAAGAATTATACCACATTCTTGAAGGTAATTTCGAAACTCTTGACTAATAAATTGCCGGCCGTTATCTGCAGTGATGGTAACTGGATAACCAAGCCGTGAATATATCTCCTTTAGTAACCTGATAATATCATTTGATGTTACACTTTTTGTCACTGTTACTTCCTTGTAACGACTGTAATTATCAACGATAACTAACAAGAAATCTCCAGAGGGTAGAGGTCCCATTAGATCAATAGCTACATCAATCCATGGTTCGACCGGTAGTTCACGGCGTTTCATTGGATTAGGTGGGTTTGGTGCAGATACTAATGTGCAACTTTTACAGTTTCTTACGAATATCTCTGCATCTTTGTCAATTTTAGGCCACCATACTTTCGTCCGTAATCTTTGTTTCATACAAACAATACCAGGGTGACCCTCGTGACCGGCTTGCAATACTTGCTGTCTTAATTTTTCAGGAATAACAATTTTGTTACCTCGTAGTAAAATATTATTTTGGAAGCAAAGCTCTGATTCAAATACTTTATAATTTGATATGGTATGGTCCCAGATACACGAGTATAAACCTTGTCTTACCTTAGCAATTTCGGAATCTTCCTTGGAAAATTGCTCAATATCGTCGAGTGATACGGCTACGGGTCTTGAGTATTCAATTATATGCCTGATATGTTCCTCATCAAAATTACGTACTATTGTATTCACAGAATTATGGTTTGATGTGCAAAGTCTTGAAAAGGGATCAGCTATATTCGATTTACCTGGTCGGTATACTATTTTGTAATTATAGGCTTGTAATCGAAGAACCCATCTTTCGATTCGGGCACAAGGCTTAGAGCATCTTCCAAAAATAATTTCTAATGGTTTGTGGTCACTTACCAGTTCAAACTCACTTTTTCCATAAAGATATATTCTAAAATGTTTTACAGCCCATACTAAGGCCAGCGCTTCCTTTTCAGTTTGGCAGTATCGCTTTTCGCAGTCTGTTAAACTCTTATTTCCAAATGCTATTATTCTAGGTCCTTTTGAATTAATTTGGATAAGAACCGCCCCTAACCCAACAGGACTGGCATCGGCAATAACTTGGGTCTTGTCAGCCGGATCATAATATCCTAATGACTGCATATTGCATAGAATTTTCCTCAATTCGTGAAATGCGTTGTCCTGGTCTTTGGTCCAGAATTACCTAATGTCGGCATTTTTCCCCAGCTTTAGCCTTAATATTTTCCGAAAAGGCTCAGTGAGTGTCGCCAAATTTGGTATCCATTTCCCAACAAAATTTACTAACCCCAAGAAACTTTGAATTTCCTCGATAGTTGATGGTGCCCTAAACATTTGGATACGGTCAATGTACTTTTTTAAAGGCCTTACACCTTCACTAGATAACTCATGCCCCAAGAACACTATTTTATTTACTTTGTAAATATATTTATCATTATTTAACATAACATTGTTCTCTTTCAAAATATTGAGTGTCTGTTGTAATCATTGGTCATGCTCTGCCTCATTTGATCCAAAAATGACAATATCGTCAATAAAATTTACCGTACCTTCAACACCGTATAAGTGTGCGTTCCATGATTTTCTGAAACATTTCTGGAGCACAGGAAATACCAAACATAATTCTCTTGTAGTTTAGTTTAGTTTAGTTTACGACGGGCTGTTTTCCGCAACTCCACGTCTATGCGCGTATTTTGCGTGTGGGCAGGAATAATGTGATTATTCGAGCCATGAGATCTCTCCGAAGAAGCTCAACAGGCCCTTGATGTTGCATGCAACTTCGGGGAGTGATCCCGGCGTGCCGAGATGTTTAGCCCTGTATGTAGCGACCTCCGGACATTTCAGTAGCACGTGGGCCGCCGTTTCTTCCTCCCCCATACATGCCCTGCACAGGGGACTATCTGTAACACCTATAGTAAATAAATGTTTGTTAAAGGTGCCGTGTCCTGTGATAGCACTTGTTACTATCCTAATCTGCGGCTTGTTCAGTCTCATTAAAACTTTTGTTAAGCGACTGTTAATTTCAGGCAGGGCATCCCTAGCTTGTCTACAGTCTACTAGATTTTTCCAAAGCTGAGCGTGTTGATTAGTAAAGTGTCTACGTACCAGTGAACAAACGTTACCAAAGGGGATTGGTATGATTGGTTCCGGCCCTATAGTGGCCAAAGCCGATCCTCTTCTGGCAAGTTCGTCTGCTGCATCGTTGCCTCTGGATCCACTGTGTCCCTTTATCCATTGCAGGGTCACATTGTTGTTTTTACATACCTCATTTAATCGTTGATGGCATTCATATATTAGTCCCGAGTTCACCACATTGCCTCTCAGGGCTTGGAGTACCGCCCTACTGTCGGTCAGTATTCTGATGGGGAAGTCATTAACCTTCCTAGCATCTATTGCTATGGCCGCTTGAATGATACCCATACATTCCGCCTGAAAGACCGTGTTATAGGTACCCAGCGGTGTGCATATGTGAATATTGAGGTCTTCAGAGAAAGCTCCACAACCTACACCTTCATTTGTTTTAGAACCATCGGTGAAAATTCTAAGCTCTTTTGGGCTTAATCCTTCCGGCTGGCTGTTTTCATTTAACTGTATCTTGTATTTCTTATCGAAAACAAATTGTTTAGGAATCCTATCGTATTTGGCTTGTAGGATAGGAATTTTTGAGTGAATTCTATCAATTATGCCTGTATGAGGGACACTATTCTTACTCCAAAGATTTAGGGTCTTGAGTCTGATGGCAGCTAAAGTCGCTTCTTGTTGTATATGTAGATGAAGCGGAGTTAGCTCCAGCATCGCTTCTAAGGCTGCTGTTGGCGTAGTTCTCATGCAGCCTGTAGCAGCCATACATGCCAGTCTCTGGTAGCGCTGAAGCTTTTTAATTATGGTGGCTTCATTTGTCTTGGTCCACCATACCAGAGCGCCGTATGTGATCATGGGCCGAATTACAGTTTTGTAAAGCCACAGTATGATTTTTGGCGTCAATCCCCATCTTTTGCCAATCATGTTTCTGCATTGCCAGAAAGTTATACTAGCTTTGTTGATTTTGTTTTCTATGTGTTTATTCCAGTTAAGTTTGCTGTCCAAGGTAAGACCTAAATATTTTACCTCAGAGGATAGCTGGAGTTTTGTGCTAAAAAGACTTGGAGGATGATAGTTATTCAGCTTTCGTTTTTGTGTGAACATAACTAAAACCGTTTTATTTGGATTGACAGTTAAGTCGTGTTCCCTGCACCATCTCTCCACTATACGGAGAGCCGCTTGGGTCAGGTCGCACACTATGCTTGCTGTCTTTCCAGAGACCAGTATTGTCAGGTCATCAGCATAACCTACTGTATAGAAGTGATTGTCATTTAATTTGCTGATGAGTTCATTAATGACCATATTCCACAGGAGAGGTGAGAGAACCCCACCCTGCGGGCAGCCTTTCTTAATTTGGATTGGTTGAGATTCACCAGCAATCTTTATTATTCGTGTACTGAGCATGTAAACTATCCAGTCGATCAGTGCCGGTTCAACTTTGTGTCTACCGAGTGCACCTTTTATGCTGGAGAAGTTCGTTCGGTCAAAAGCACCTTCTATATCTATGAAGGAACCTAGACATATTTCTTTGTTTTGGATGGCCTCTTCAATCTTTGTAATTACCTTATGAAGGGCCGATTCTGTTGATTTGCCTAGACTGTAGGCGTGTTGCTTGTCGTGTAGTGGTAAGTTCATTAGCGCCGACCCCCTTAATTCCCTTTCACACATCCTCTCCATCGTCTTTAGGAGAAAGGATGTGAGGCTAATGGGCCTGTAGGATTTAGGGTCAGTGTAGTCGCTCTTACCTGGTTTGGGTATGAATGTAACTTTCACTTCCCTCCATCCCCTAGGAACATATTTAAGAGCAAGACAGGCTCGCATTATGGCAGCAAGTCTGACTATTAGGGCTTTACCCCCCCACTGTAGGAGTGCCGGGAATATGCCGTCGGGTCCTGCCGCCTTATAGGGGAGGAAACTGTGAATGGCCCAATGGATTTTGTCCATCGTTACCACTCTCTGTGCTAAATTCCAGTCTTCTGCTGTTGATGTCAGTATGTCGTCATGCCGGTTTGCCTCCTGGGTTACGCAGCAACCTGGGAAGTGCGTTTCAATTAGGATGCGTTGGGCTTCATCCGGCGATGTTGAGTAGCTACCGTCGGGTTTCTTTAGAGACATGGATCCCGACGTGTTCTGTTTAGCTAGAATATTCCTAATCCTATTTGCTTGTTTGCAGGTTTCTATGTTGCCACAGAATTTACGCCACCCAATCGAGCGTCGATACCTGATACATTTTTTGTATTCAGACTTAGCTTTCTTATATAATAGCCAGTCTTCATCCATTGAGGTATTCATGGCCCTATTTAGAGCTTTTCTTACCTTCTTACGTTTTCTATCGAGTTCTTTACCCCACCACGGTTGTTTTACCTCGGCATGTCTTGGTGGAGTGATTTCTGGACATGATTCATGGTAGCTGTCTATCATGGCCTTAGTAACAGCTGCTACCTGTTCTTCTAGGAGCGACTGATCTGCTATAGTATTTATCCCCTCAAAATCCGCTAGCAAAGACGTCAGCCTATTTAGGTATTTAGTTTTATCTGTCTTGCGGGGATTTCTCCATGGTGGTGTAGAGGGGATATCGACCTGTAGTGCGAAGCAGATCCATCTATGGTCTGAGCATGAGGCCTCTCTCGACACATGCCATCCCGTAATTAGTTTGGCTGCTCCTTCTGTTGCAAGTGTGAGGTCGATTATAGTGCGACAGCGTTTGTTTATGAAAGTAGGTTCAGAACCTATGTTTAAAATGGTTAGGTTAGTACTAAATAAATATTCAACTAAAACTTTACCTCGTTCATTTGGTTTTTCCATTCCCCAAAGGGGATGATGTGCGTTGGAGTCCGTCCCGATCACAACCTCTAGTCCGGTCCTCTCGCAGAAGTTCACCAGCCTGCTGAGGTCATGAGGTGGAGGAGTGTCTTCCTCCGGCATGTAGACCGAGGCGACGACTAATCTACTCTCCTGTGTGTACTGTATTGCTACGGCATACATGTCTCTAGAACAGAAATCTGTTAAAGGTTGTGCACAGATATCTTTAGTAGTGTAAATACACGCTCTAGGCTTGTCGTGTTCAGAGCTGTAGAATAACTTACCTTTTAGGTTGTTTAGGCCTTTAATTTTACCAGCCCCAACCCATGGCTCCTGGATTAAGGCTATGGCAGTCCTTTGAACCTCCAACCACTTGCGTAATTGAGCCGACGCAGTTTCGCTGTGGTGGAGGTTGGCCTGCACTAGGCTAGTTTTGGACGAAGGGCACGCCATCATTGATCGCGTCCTCCCCGTCCCCGCCCAAAAATAGGCCTGCCAGCAGATCTCGGGTCTCATCGTCAGCCACCGAGTCGGAGGTGGTCGGCAAAATGCAGTCCTCCTCGTCACTCAGTGAGCTGCCGCTGAGCCCAATCTCCACTGGGGGCTTCGGCTCAATTGTGCAGGCCGTTTCTTCACTGGACTTGGCCTCCAGTGATTCCGCTGTACCGGTAACTATGGCTTCGGTATCCATAACTTCCGGGTTGTTTTCTACCTCTTTGCTCGGTGGAGTATCAAAGAATTTACCTCCACGACCCTGGAATTTTACGTATACCGTCCCGCATACACATGCGAGACGGCGTCCGGCCTTCATCAGGGTCGGGATATGATCCTCCGGCACCGAAACAACGAGGAACCACCCGTCCGTCTGCTTATCTGCCTTGAGTAACAGCCAGTCCCTGATGTTAACCCAGCGGTTCTGGTACGCCAACACGCGACCAATGTCGCGTGAGTCTTTCCAGGCCCCCTGGGCATCAGGGATAAGGATACCACATTTGACTCTTTGTGGTATCTCTGACTGTTTCTTTATTGTCAGCAAGGTGCTGGATTTAAGGTCGAGGGTAGCAATGTTCCCCTTCAACCAGTCCAGAGCCTTCTGATCGTCGCACCACAGTTTCAGGACACCTTCCGTATAAACGGGTTTGCCCCTAAAAACTGGGCCCGACGCATCAGGGTCCTGGCTACTCCAGGCCTCGCTGATCATCTTCCTCTGTATTGCTACGAGGATGTCGTCTGCTACTTCCTTCGTAATGTGACCTGAACGCGCACACGTTAAGGCCACACCCAAATCTGCTTTAGCAGCGGAAGCGTAGCTCGTTCTTGCAGTCTTTGGTTGCTGTTCGAGTCTCACTTTTTTGTGTTCACCTCTAGGCGAGGTGGACTCTTCCAGCATCCTTTTGGCTGCTCTTTCCTTCTTCCCAGGACGCTTGGCCGCTCGCTGCTTCCTGGCGGATATCCTAGAGCTGGTTCCCGCGTCCGCGACTTCCACTTGGGCTGGATTTTTATCCTTCCCAGCTTCAGCGCGGCTACTGGTTCCAGCGCCAAGCACCTCAGTCGCAGTAGCTTGCCCAGCCTCCTTGGTTTTGGTATCTGAAGCAGCCAAAGCGGCTCGTTCTCTACGGCCTTTTTCCCGCTGCTTCTTGTTCTTCTTTTTGGCCTTTCCACTACTGCCTGCAGGGATAGACCCTCCTGATGGTCCGTCAGGTCGGCAAGTCACCTTTTTGGGTGCCTTGCCTTTCCCCTTACGGCTCACCACTTGCCAGGCAGCAGAGAAAAGGTCGTCAGTCCGTAGTGGCTCCGCAGTTTTATCACTTGCGGGCTCTTGTTTCTTTTTCTCTTTATCTTCCAGCTCCTTGGAACTGGTTTTGGAAACGTTCAGCGAGGTTATCCCTTTGGTGGGGGCACCTACGCTGGACGGTACTGTCCGCGGAACCGTCGGTTTAGTGACGGTTCCCTTTTGTTCTTTGGTGTCTCTGGTAAGCACCTCTGACACCTCTCCCTCCTTCTTATTGGGCCTTAAATTGTCCATAATTTGTGTTTCTTAAAATTCATCCCCCCGGCTTCCCACCCTCCATGGAGCCCGCACCTTTGGGAACGCCCTACTTTAGGAATTTCAGGCGTTAGGATTACCGGGAGAATATAGGGACGCGAAGTTGGCTCACAGCGCGACATCGGGAGCTCGATCCAGCTGGTAGATGGGGCTGACAAGGCCCATCCCCACCACCCGAATAAACTGTCACTTGCTCCGTCAGCATGGCCTTTACCACCACCCAGCCCCCTTTTCAGGAAGACTAGGCAGCCCCCACATCCCTCGCCTGCGACCCTCTGACGGGGCGCTTGGCCATTTCCCTATCTGTGGCTAGCAGATAGGGCCACCGTTTAGCTTGAAATCCGGACCAAAGAGGGCGTGTTGCCTCTCGCCACTATATACCCCAGCGACGATCGGCTCAACCCTCCAGGACTCCTTCATCCCCGCGTACGGCGCTCGACTGCGCAGGTCCTAGCGCAGGTGGGTGTGTTAGTCCACCGGATACACCCACTCTCTCCGGCGGATTCGTCCCCTCCTCCTTTCTCATCCGGGCTTGGGACCGGCAACGGCGGAGTTTAATATATATAATAATAATTCTCTTGTATCTAAATAACCCTTTGTTTGTTATAAATGTAGTGATATATCGGGTATCAGGATGGATTTCGATTTGATGGAAAGCGTTTTTAATATCGAGGCGAGAAAATAATTTCGCATCTTTAAAATATGGTAGCAGCTGGTCCATTGTTGGTAATGGATGATTTTCACGAATTATTGCTACATTAGCTCTCCGCATATCGATACAGATCTTTATATCCCCATTTTCCTTTAAAACAGGCACCATGGGTGAAACCCATTTTGATGGCTTAGATACTTCTTCGATAATATCAAGCTGCAATAATTCTTGTATCTTTTTATTAACCTTTGTTTCTAGGGATATAGGTATTCTCCTGTAAGGCTGACTTACTGGCGTTATTTTCTCATCAATAGGTATCTCAACAACAACGTCTTTAAATTTTGGAAATACTGTAATATTTTCATCTGATGTTGACTCGACGGTATTTACTTTAACACCTAATCGCAAAACGCCCAATGCTATGGAGGTTACTTTCCCCAAAATATTCTTAGTGCCGTTTTTTATCACATAGAAAATAGCAACTTCTTTTCTGCTATTGATTTGGACTTGAGTTTTAAATGATCCCAATATAGTTAATGGCTTATTGCTACCGTAGACGTAAAATGTTTTATCCGGTGATCTATCCATTTAAAAAACATTTATTTTATTTGTTTTTAGTTTTCTCCATGTAACATCTGTTATCAAATTACATTTACATCCAGAATCGATCAATAATGACGTCTTGACACCATCAACCCAACAATTAATAGTAGTGTCGTCATCTACATGAAAAACATAATCGATTTCTTCTTTTTCCTCCGTCCTTGATTTTTTGGTGGGGGTAGGGTCTTTTGAACTCAAAAATTGTCTTTTAAGTGGCCTTACTGTCAAACAGTACTTTCGAAAGTGCCCCGTTATACCGCATTTATGGCATTTAATTTTCCTTGCGGGACATTCCATTGATTGAGGCATATGCTTAAAGCTCCCACACCTAGTACACGATTTGTTAGACATTTTCCTTCTGGTTTCAATTTTATTTACGGTGCTGCTATTACATGCGGGGTTGTGAGTAAATTCTTCCATCTCTCTGTTCACACTTTCTAGGGTATTGGCTTCTATTATGATGTCTTCTAATGCCATTTTGTCACCTCCTTTTAAAATTTTTTTACGAAGCTCGCTAGAGTAACATTTTTCTGTAATTTGATCGATCATGCTTTCTTCTTTATTTGCAAAACAACATTTATCAGCCTGTTTTCTTAATCGAATTAGAAATTTTTCAAATTTTTCTCCCGATTCTTGTTTCATTAGTCGAAATAAGTGTCTCTCATATACTTTGCTTTGTTTTGGAGCAAAGTACTCGTCTAACTTTTCAATGGCTATAACATAAATATCCTTCGTTGGATCATCTGTACTGCTAACATGGGCGCCTGGTATATTATAATATATTTCTTGGAGACTATGGCCACCCATGTGTAATAATGCAGCCCTTTTTTTAGCGGGTAGTTCAATATTTGCAGCTTCTAGATAAATGTCTAAACCTCGCTTCCACTTTTCCCATTTTGCACCAATGCCAAGAGAATCCCCATCACAATCAAATGATTCTAGAGGGGGTAGTGATGAGATTTTTTATTTTTATAGTTATAGTCTTATTCCTGTAAGCAAGAAGATATACAAGCAGATAACCTAAAGCATGTCCATGACTGGACCTTTGCTTTAGTAATACTTGGACCATCATCAAAAAGTGTCCATGCTCCTGGACCATCTCATTGAGGTGTCCATTTGATTTTAACAAAGATAAATCACGTCACTGCATATTTATCAAACTGCTATTACTATAAATGTCCCCAATTTTACGATCCGTATTTTAATCAATCTCTTAAAAGAGAATACAGCAAATCCTAGTATAAAATTTTCCAGTTCATATAAAAACATTTGTAATTACTTACAGTATTTTTTTCCTCGTCGCCAATATACAATACACTGCTTTATTTTGCACAATATATACGGTATCACTCATTACATAATGTCACTAACACTACACAATACTTGGTACACGTCTGTCGGTACACACGTATTAACAGAAATGTCGCCTTCTCGCTGGTTACAATTCAATTGCCCGACGTTCACACGGCGGGCTGTATTTATACCCCAGTAGTGACGACTCACTACCGTTTGTCTATACACTACAAGACGTTTGTCTATACACTACACCATATTTTTTTGTACCTATGATGCTACTCTCCGTAACATTTACTAAATTATTCAAGACCTATCACGATAAAATGTAAACTACCTCTTATAAAAATACAAAAAAATTGCCAGCAGTAACCTGAATATAGGGTCCAGCGCGGCTTTAACGCGTGGCGCTGCGGCTCAAACATAATTATTTGTTAAAGTTAAAGTTACAGCCTATATACGTCCCAATGCTGGGCACAGGCCTCCTCTTATTTCTGAGAGGGTTTTAGTGCAAGGAACTCTCCGCCGCGCTGCCCCAATGCATTTTGGCGAACTTCACATGTCTTCGAAATACTTTTTTTTCTTATTTCTCGGACATGCAGGTTTCCTCACGATGTTTTCCTTCACCAAGCACGTGGTAAAACAGCACTTAAAATTTCATTGGTGCCGGCGGGGATTGAATACGGGTTGCTCGCATACTGTGAAATTTACCGCGAGCGCTAACCATCTGAGCTATTACTTGTATCTATATGTGTTTACTATAATAAAAGTGCAGAAGAACTGTTTCTGAACTTTTAATATTATTTTGATATTTTTCTTGGGGCCAACTATCATTGATACAAATGCTAAAGCAACAATTTTTGAAAGCGTTGTCAGTTTGTTTGCCGTCTGTCTGTCTGAATGCGTAGTAAGCATAAACCTAAGGACGGATTTAGGTGGAATTCTCACAATAGATATAGGTGTCTATGGGCCACAGTATCCGCTTACCAAAGGTGAACTGTGTGCTCGTTTGCGATATATATATATGAGCAGTAGCTTTTTAGCACTTGGTTTATCGATTGAAGCCAATATACATATTTTTTAGCTCCACAATACATAATAGCAATAGCATCATGTGTAATTACTTTTAAATCTTTCCTTAAAAATTACAAACGAGACCTTACTCTTCAACTACATACTTATGTGTCCTGGCCATACTTCTCAATGATTAGTGACTAACCGTGGACTAAAATTTATTTGACGTTACTCAGGTATTTTTGATTCTTCTGCAGACATCACCATAACCAGTAAGTAGGGTTTTTCCAGAAGTTTAATATCCAGCGAAGAGAAGTAGCAATAGTGCGAGACTTCTGGTATTATTACACGTTATTCAACTTTCCATGCATGGCGATAATGTAAATCTTTGCTACAATTAGAAAGGTCTATGTTCAGCTGTTGATTGTTACAGGAAGTTAAAGAAAAAGAAATAAATACACAGCAAAATATGAATAAGCAACATGGTTTTATAATATTTAGTGAAGTGTAAGATTTTTCATTACAAATTTAAGATGTGTTTCAGTGTTTATTTCTATAAGACTCCACTAGTCTATCAACTACTCCTTATCAAAATAAATACTTGTTGCTACCGAAAAATACGACCACGTTGTACTTAGTACCTGAAAATAATAATAAATTTTTAAAAGAATTAAATCTACGGAACTTATCTAAAGTTAAAGTGAACCCAGGCTTCCTTTCGGTTTTAAAATGTTATATTCCACAGACATTAAGATTTCCTCATAATTATGTCTGTCACCGCTGAGCATCTGGTAAGCCAGGACTTAAAAATTCCATTTATAATGAAACGTGATGTCGAGACCGGTTTGCTCGCGTACCGTGAAATTTACGGCGATTTCTTAGCGCCTGCGCTCGCTAAGACGGCTCCCTGTTTATTGGGACATGAATATAAACATTATATATTATGTATTTCTGACATTTTTTAAAGTCAGTATAATAGGGTTTACTAAATACATGAATTACGTAGAGGTACAATAGAATAGAGATAGAATAAAAACCTAATAGGTCGGGGAAAAAGTTTCTGCGTATGTTGTTTTTATAAAATTCAAGAAAACTTCCTTTATTTATACTGTTTGTATTTGGCTGGTTTTAATATCGAAACACAAATAGGAAGTACATTAATAAAAAGAAAAATAAAAAATTAAAAGCACTTTCCCGCCATTTATCTATTGTTTTTTGTTCACCAAAATTAAAGAATGTAACGAAGAAATTCGATACATTCTGAAGTTTTATTACAAAAAAGGGAAATGCGACGTTTGTAGACCTAACGCAATGTCAGTAAAAGTAGCGCAAAGTTGGTTCAAAAGTTTTCCTTCCAGGAATTTTGATATCAAAGATGCAGCTCGCTCTGGTCACACTCATACGTATAAAGTCGATGCTATTTTTGAAAAAGTGGAGCGAAATCGGCATATTAGTAGTTACGTCATAACCGAGGAATTAAGAAGTGACCACAAAACAGTTTTGACCCATTTGAAAAAGTCTGACTATACAAAAAAGCTCGATATTTGGGTACCACACGAGCTCACTAAAAGAAACCTTTTTTTTAAAGAATAAGGGTGACAAACGAGCACACGATCCACCGGATGGTAAGTGGTTGCTGTGGCCCATAGACATCTACATTTATTTTCATTTGCAAAAATGACTATGGTCCATAGAATCCACTTAGTAGCAGGAAGACTGTGTGCTCGCTTGTCACACTAATTCTAAAAAAAAAAACTCTAAAAGGTCAATTTCGAGCAGGAGTAATCCTATATTATTTAGATCCAATCCTTATAAATAACTGCAAGATTCCTTTTTTAAATTTTCTCAAGTATTATGGAATGAAACAGTTATCTGCTTAATAATACTTTACGGGAACACTGCAAACTTTTTAACATTCAACGTACGAAAATATTCTCTAAAAATTTTACATTTAATGTGGAGGGAAACCACGGGTTAAAGAACTTCCGAGAAATTTAAATTAAGAATAAATATTTTCATCTGGGATACTTTGTAGTATCCTCGGGCTATTTTTATTAATAAATGAGCTGAGATTTGGAATTTTGAAATAGCCAGTATAAATAAAGAGCGTGAGATATTATGTATCAGTTCTCAGGGTAGACAACGAACTGTTTGCTTTGTTTGAAGCTAGATGTAGGTTTCGACTTATCATCGGGTATTGAGCGAGTTGAGATCATTGTCACTAATATAATAAAAAGCCGGTTATAATATTCTTACTTGAAGTTCTTCTTTTTTCAATCAGCCCATAAAAGTTCATTAATGGACATGGCCTTTCTTATAATTGGAAAGATTTGCCTAGATCGTCGCCATTGGCATCACAGAACGAAACGTTAACGAAAATTTGCCTTCAACTTAGTTCTTATTTCTACTTTGCACAAATGTTGATTCCGGCTGTAATTTGAGGACACCACACATTCGTCACAAAGATGGTGGGCCATCGTTTGTGATACATAACATCAGGTAAAGTACCTACTTGGATTTGCCATACTGTTACAAACTGGAAGGAGCCTATGTACTCGCATTCACTGGTTTATTTACAGGCGACTATAAATTACATCTCCAATATTAATAAAAATTAACTCATAAAACTTATTAAGTCATCACGTAAACGCTTTTGTTATTCTCACAACGTTAAGCACATATTTGTCGCTGTTTCCTAATACCTGACTAGGTATTGTATCATATCTGGCATATCCCACAGTCAGCCTACGACATCCATATAACTAACAGATTTATCGAATATATTACGCTCCTGCTATAGGACACTTTGATCTTTTTTTTATAGGATAGGGTGACAAACGAGCACCTGATGGTAAGTGGTTACTGTGACCCATATACATCTACATTTATCCTTAATAAAGAATCGACTAAGATGGAATACCTCTTTTCCAGTAAAATGGGTCTCCGGTTATCTACACTCACCATACGAAACAGCAGTGTCAAGCTGCCATTTTACGCTGGTATTCTATGAGAGCGTGGTCCTTCCCTAGTCTAGCCGACCCATTCGTGCTACAACTATACTACTAATATAGCTGCAGCATGGCTCTACCACGTATAACGTCTAGTACCAAATCTATTTAATTGACACGAAAGATAAATCGAGAGTTGTGCGGCTTGTTGGTTTTTTTTTTATAGAATGAAGGTGACTGACGAGCACACAGTCCACTTGATGGTAAGTGGTTGCTGTGACCCATAGACATCTACATCTATCTTCAAAATTAAAACGTAGATGCGTTGTCAGCCGTGAGGACTAAGATAGAATGCCTCTTTTCCAGTAAAATGGGTTTCCGGTTTTCTACACTCACCATACGAAACACAGCAGCATTAAGCTGCTACTTTACGCTGGTGTTCTGTGAGAGCGTGGTCTTCCCCGGTGGAGCCAACCCATTCGTGCTACAACTATACTATTAATATAGCTGCAGCATGGCTCTACCATTTAAGGTTTACCCCATATTCATAGTCTTTAAGTAATTGGTTGTAGCACAAATGGGTTGGCTCGACTAGGGAAGGATTACTCTCTCACAGAACTTACCCTTGGGTAAACGCAGCCGTGCCTTCTGCTTTATCATAATAATGCAAACATTTATACACTATACGATCGATTTTTTTATATTCATAACTTGTAATTCTTCTGGAATACATTTTATAAATATAATAAATTTCTCTTACGAAACCCATAGGACGAAATGGGTGATCGACTCTATTACGCTCCCACCACTTAATCGAGGATATACGTAAAGTTCCATGAGCCAGACAGCATCCACACAGCAAGTGGACAGTATGATCGTTTGTCACTCTTATTCTATAAAAAATAGTGGCCTCTCTACACCTATGGACGAATAGGGTGATCGATTCTCTTACGCCTCCACTACACGGCACTTTTTTTTAGTTATTATAAGCCAGTGCTTGACCACAACCACCAGGTAGTAAGAAGTTGCTCTATTGAATCAGTTTAACTGGCACCAGAGATTAAAATATACCTATTAGAAGTAGTAAGTATATACCTTAGTGAACGAGTTCAAAGTAACCGGTACATGTTTTAGTGACGTAAGACAGCAAGGCCGTTGTGATCTGTGAAAGAAATTATTATGATTAAATACTCAAACGATATTTAATTTTAAGTCTCGTGCTGTCTCTATCACTTTAATCCAAAGTGACTGTGATACCAGACTTTAAATTTGAAAGTATTATGTTTGTCTGGATGTTTGTCCTTTAATCAAGTTCAAACAGCTTAACAATATATTTAACGATTATGTCGTGAAACAATATATAGGGTAGTTTTTATAAAAATTATTACTAAAGTTACATTTTTCCCAAGCGAAGCAGACAGGTGACAGCTATCTAAGTAAGAAATAAAACAGAAGCCACAAACAACAAAGTACAGATAAACAGATTGATAGTTTTAGTCCAAAATATGTATGGAATAAATAAAATATGATAAAATATCTTTTACTCAACACTATACATTTAAGTTTTATTGTATCAACGCCCCCGAGCAATAAGTTAGTAATCGTAAGGTTTTACGATTACTTAATTTTACAGGGATAATTATTTACAATTTTTGACATATAACTCAGGAACGGGCTGGAACATTAAAGTGATTGTAATATCAAATTAAAGTTATGTTTTTATAGACTCTAATCTTGATGTTGTAGTTGAGTTAAATAATTTTGAATGCAAAAAATATCGTAAAATAAAAATTACTCAAGATGTGCTAACAATGTTTTTTAGTATTTTTAACTAATATGTACATTTATAATATATAGTATATAAGTAAATTTCTCAAAAGTGATGTTATAGTAATGTTACGGCCCTCAGCTGCCCCGACAAAGATCGACTGGGCTAGGGCCCGTAGTAACCCACTCGACGAGCACCCCGAGGGTTCGGACCCAATGGCCAATGAAGGATTACTAACTAAGGGCTGATAAGCAAGCACAAACTTTTACCGAATTCCGGAGGTAGTGTTGACCACAGCGCACCGTCAGGTGTTAAGTAAGTGATGTAAAGTGGTGTGTGAAAGTGTGTAAATGTAACCTGACGTCCGTTGTAATCCGAGAGCAGACCCACAGGCGCTGCTTTTCTCCACAATGTAAGATCACTCCAGTAGGGTATTCACCAATTGAAACTTTCAACTTTTATTTCACTATATTAGTTTATCAATTTTATTATACATTTAATTAACTTCAAATTTAACTAAATCACGTTAATCGAAATTAAATCAAGTGACACACGGCACAGTTTAAGAACGACCAATTCGTCGATCAATTCAATGTTCCATGTTCACTTAGCACAAAGTTATAATCGAGCACACGCGATCTCCTCTCGAGGCACAAAGTTTTAGCGTTCCGCCCGACAAAGCAAAAATTTCTTCGTACGATATTAAAAGGACACACAAACAACTCGTCGATGCAAATTAATGGCAATAGAAGTTAATTTAAGCACTCAAAACTCCCGAGATGCCTCGTTGTCACGTAAAAACGCACTAACTAGACAACGCTATCAGAGGCAGCCGACACGCGACCAAATTATACGAGAGTGAGTTCTAGACTCTGGGCGCGGCCGGTCGGTGCGACGCGCGCGGGCCCGCGTGCCAGGCGGTGACCTTTAAATTCCATCGGAAGGGCACGCCGAGGCGAGCGTTTTGGAATGCAAGTTTTAAATATTACGATTTTGCCTAAATAAGTAACGTTATGCTACTGACTTATTGGACCATTTTTGTATTTAAGACATTTCCCATACTGAGCCAAATCTCCACTACGTGCCATAGTGAGCCAGATCGATTTACAACTTACAGAATGGCTCAACACTTAGCGAAAATACTGTCGCCGCTCAGGGGACATACAAGAACACACACAAAGGATTCCTACCATTTCGTCAGCGAGATTAAAGACCTAAATCTGTTAAAGAATGAAAATGTGGTCAGTTTTGATGTGCAGTCACTGTTCACATGCTTACCTGTTGAAGACTGTATCTCAGATAGATGATGACTGGGTGATACCATCTGCTTGGGATTCTATAACTAATAAAATTAAATCCCAACCCCCGTATACAACCGCAAGACTTCAAGATACTATAAGTTCATACTGCGTAGATTGGAACAAAAATTAATAACTTTAATGTGTAGATAGCCGTGGTTAACTTTGAAACTTGGACGTCGATCACCTCAGTCCACCCGTGACCTGAGTTTTGTTAAGTACTTGAAACGTCGGGAATATAAAATAAGTTTTTTTTTTTATAGAATAAGTGACAATATCCTGCTTCACATTATGTTGATGCGTCAAATTGCGTAGTTTTGGGGAGATTTTGACGGCAACTTGAGCCAGCAGACAGTTGGCGATTGTATCTCAAGGCGCCTTATATATAGCACTTGTTTCACCGTTTTCACTAATAGTTCACATGCGCAGACATTTAATACACAAAATCGCACCAATTTTACATTTCATAATCCACTTTCAACCGTTATGATGAACTTAACCGGCGGCGGATTGTTGCTCCTGTACTATTGTTTAAATAGTACAGAAGCAACAATCCGCCGCCGGTTAAATTTCCATCAACATTCTCGGCGGATAGTGTTTTGGAGATTTGAGGCACAGATTAAAAAAATATATATTCTTAAAATTGAGTTATGAAATTTATAATGCATTATTATGAAAAAAAAATCAACATTTCTCTTTTATTTTATACAAAACCTATCATAAATATGTATTTTATGATTTATTTTTATATGATGCAAAATACCCATTTGTCGAACAGCAAAATATATGTCGAATACATAGTAAAGACTTGTACGAATGTTATTTATATAGAACATTTACGTTCTATATAAATAATTAAAAGTTAATACATATAATTAAAAATAAATTATTAATCTTATAAAATACGGTTTGATTTTTTTATTAATTAAATTACATGGAATAATACAACAAAGTTATAGAAATCGCATTTACTAAACACTTTATGCGTTTACGTCAATACTGCTGTAATAGTAATTAATCAAATCAAACATGATTGTGAATTTCGGTGCAATAAAAGTGTTATTTATTATATGTCCTTAAATAAAGCTAGAAAAAATCTGAAAAAAATAATCAATGTGTATTTCAATCTAGACATTACGAATCTGACATAACAGTAAAAAATCTATAATAGCACATTATCAATTTTTTTTTGCTTGGGGGCGTCGATATGTATTATTGTACCTATATATAATATACAGTTTTCGTTTAATAAAATATATATTTTTTCGGTCATTTCGTAGTCAAAGCATAAAAATTGCTTCATGAATAAATTAATGACTCTGTAGAGTCGAGTAACTAGTAATACTTGCTTGATTTTATTCTTAATACATTATTTTATTATGCGTACTTTTGTTTTTGTGTGAAATGTATGTCATGGTAATGGGTGCTGCGTGAAGTTACCGTACAAAATAATGACTAACTACTAACAACTAAGATGAATTTCTACTGATTAAACAAGTCGTATTTATTTTTATTTGAATAGATAATTTTTTGTCATAAATGACGCCAGGATTTCTACATATATCTAATGTCTTTTTACTCCAAGTTTTTATTTTTAACACTTTATAATTATAATCAATTAAGTCCTTCATAAGTCCACTTTTGAAGATAAGCCTCTCCACGGAAGGTCAGAAAGCACGTTCGTGAGCCACCTGCATTCATCCACTTGCTACATGTCTTACCAGGTCGTCATCCCATTGAAGAGTTGCACAAAACTTTCTTACCTATCGGTTGTCGGTTCTTTAAGCTAATACGACCGGCTCATTATCAAATTATATTACTTAAAAATATATCAATTTATAATTTCAATACGACGTACCGTATTATTATGATATTAATCATTTTCTGGTAATAAACATCTCCTTTATACCATAAATTAGTGTAAGCCGAATCAGCTATACGCAAACTCTAGAAAGATAATCAAAGTTTTTGATATATTACAATATGTAAACATAAATTAAAATACGAGTCACAAGATATTCTTACGCTGCCACTACACCGCACCCGGGTGTGTGAATATACCCGTGGGTGTCGTAAGAGGTGACCTAGGAAATGGAACGGGATATGGGCAGCAGCACCTTCATAAGCGCGGCGACTATGGCAAATATCCCCCCATAAGGCAATCTATAGGGAAAGCTCATGTTCAGGCGTGCACTTTCGATAGGCTGGCTAGGCTGATGGTAATGCTGATTAAGAAATCTAGATATTTTGCATAAGATAATTTCATATACTGATTTGCCCGCTGCCCAGCGTAAGATACAGCGAAGGTAATAGATACAGTGAAGGTAGGAAGTAAAAAATGTATAGAGCGGTGAAAGAAATCTTCCCAAAGTAACCTGTATGCTCCGCGGCTCTGACGGGGCCGCACCGTTGTTGCGGTGGTAGTGGGGCTGCGGGGGGAGAGAAGTGTCGGTATTGCGAGGCACCGATCTCCCTACCCTCCGCAACCGAATCTTGGTTGGCGGCGGAGCCATAGACTAGATCCGCCGCTGGGTCAAGAAGGCTAGTGCTTCTGAGTGCTAGTTTTTCCTAGCCCCATGACCTTCGCGCATCGGACACGGGAGCGTCCGTTGCGCAGGTGTAGTTGGAGACTGTGGAGAAAGGCGCGCCTTGTGTTCTGGTGCGCCTTCCTGAGAAGGAGATGGGGAGGAGTAGTCCTCTCCCGAGGAGGAGTCACCATGGGGTGGTCGGCACTGATGGAGCTGCCGATGTGTGCGAAAGCGTTCCCGTGGCCCCGCTAATATGTTACGTAGGTGAAACTCCATGGGGTTTTAGTAGGTCCGATATTACCCGTCCTTGCCCCTGCGATGCGGGTTTGCGTAGGCATTTCCCCATGTTAAAAAAAGGATGGCCTACATTTAAACCTGATACCTGCAACAAATTCCAAACAAAGGAGCACACAGATGTGTTGACATTTCTGAGGACTTAAATGAAGTGCCATATTGCCTGTAATAATACTGGTTCTCTATGCCCTTCAAACCGGGACCGAACAGTGCACTTTTGTTTAGTGGCAAAAAAAGGTAAGAGGGTGGTAGGTCCTAGGCAGAAAAAAGTCCTACCTTGTAAGCTCTTTTTAAAAAGTGTATATTCAAATATATTATGGTTTACTTCACATACTTCGTTCCTCAATAACTCGCCGTAGTAACAAAGTAAATAGGTGGGTAACAACAACGCCAAAACAGCAACTAAGTTGTTTATCATCTCTACTATCCCTCGCGCTACCTGTAAAGATTAAACTATTTTGTATAATCAGAGCGTCAACTTTGTTGAAGTTTTAATAACGGAATACTTACCGTGGTTGCAAATCCGAAAAAGCATGCAATAATCGTAATAAATAATAAATTGACGAATATCATGATGTTGAATACGTCGTTCAATAAAGCAGCCAACCTTAAAATTAAAATTTGTAATTAAAAGTTTGATTATCTATTTGTGCAATTTATATATATTGGTCCGTGGTGTTCATGTGCGGTAAAATTTCAAAAGGAACTGTATTTCGGGACTGGTCATCGCCCCTGTAAACAAGAAGACTGGTTCTTTTCTCGCCCAAAGGTTGAATTAAGGTGGCTACTCACTTGCCTACCACAGGGGCAATATAGAGCGTACAGCGATCGGGGCAAAATTAGAACTGTTTCTACACTGCTGAGCATGCCAAGCTTTTTAGAGGCCTTCCCTTCAAAGTGATCCCGAAATTGCACGTCACTCGATATGTCGACGGATCTGAGGGGTCGCCTTTTTTAGGGATCGGGTGTATCGATGCTGTTTTCCATGAATTCGGGACTACGCCTAGTGAGTAAGAGTACTGGAAAAAACGCGTTGAAACCGGTGCCAACTTCGGAGCACACGTCTTCAGCGCAATAGGTGAGAATCAGGCCTACTCGACTTGTTGACGTCCAGGCAGAGGAGTGCTTTACGCAACGAGCGCTGTGTAAACAGCACTTCCTGCATGGAGCACTCGCACCGCGGGATGGCCGGCGGTGTGTTTCCCCCGTCATCTCGAGTCGAGATGGAAGCAAAACGGGAGCCTGCCGTTCAGTATAAGAGTTTATATCCCGCTAGACACACGCGTCGAGAATGGCGCCAGTTTTATCAAAATATAAAGGAATCGGTATATAGAGCCTTGGCTCTTTTTATATAGAATAAGGGTGACAAATCATTGCAGTCAATTTAATGGTAAGTGGATACTGTGGCCCAAAGACACCCACATAAAACAACTAAATAAAATAACTAAAACCAACCACCAACTAAAACCATAATGTAGTGCTTATGAGCTACACCATGGTTCTACGACGTTTAAAAAATTTCCCATGTTCTAAAAAAGTTCTTTCTGCGTTGCTACCGCACAAAAAGACAAAAAGGAGATACTGGGTGAAAAAGCCGCTCTTTACATATTTCTATCACCAGGGTCCAAATGTAATTCTTTATTGATATCCATTGTGACAAAAAGGCTGACGAATTGATTTAAATTGCCCCAATTGTGCTACACACGCGGCAGCTGCAGCTATGATCTAGGGAGCAAGGAAGGTCTTGTGCCCCTGCCGCCCTGCCACAGGGCCGACTTAGGATATTGCTCCTGCTTGCATACACACATCACAATTAAAGAGGCAATTAAGTGTCATCTTCACTCCTACATCCTAGATTGCCTCTACGTCAGGCAAGTGAGTGCCTTTAGCCAGTTATTCGACAAGAAAACTCACCAAGCGTTCTTTAGAACTATAGCATGGGGAGTACGAATGTATGATATTTGTTAAATCCTCCATATAATCTTCTTAATCACAACCAGCACCAATCTACAGCTATTGGTCCTCTCCTTTAGTAGAAATAATGTAATGTAGCAGCATTTTGCAGATAACAATTGAAATTAATAAAAAAACTGCGTTTGCTTAACCGCCTGACTAGCATAGCAACTATAGCAAATATCTTCCTTTCTTAGACAGTGAATAAGGGAGGCCTATGTTCAGCATTGGACTTTTGATAGACTAAAATGAATTAAAAAAATGAGAAAAAAGTTAATGAAAATACTAAAATCACGTACTCAATTAACTTCTGATGCCGACAAATAAAATCTTGTATGGATATTTTTACATAACTTTCTTCGTTCGTTTGTTGTCCATCAGTTGAATTATTGCAAAATCCATTTTTTATATTCGTAGGCGCAACGTTTACCAAATCTTCACGAAGAAGTGCAAATGCAATAGCAAGGTGTGCAGACAGCGTCATCAACAAAAAGTCAGTGCCTATATATATGTAAACTTCTCGCAACACTGAAAATACCATCAACAATATACATTGCGTTAGTTTTATTAACATTGCAAAAGTATTATTTATTTTAAACACATTTCAAAAGCTACATACTGGCAAATGATTGGAATGCGTAAGTTGCTAAATATTTGAACCAATTTTCTGTAGGATCGTATGGATACACACTCCCAAACGGCAACGCCAGCTCACAATCCTCTTGCAGTATAAATGTACGAAAAAGTACTAACAATAATGGCGTTGTTAAATGTTGCCATGCTCCTATTATGTCACTCCAGTAGAACACTGAAATTAAATTAACAAAATATTATCAAAAAAGCTATCTAGATTTATTTCAATCACGGTAACCAAAACCGAATATTGTCGGTAGGCTGTGGTAGCGCCCTACAACTGGTTGATTTGCCTACAACATGACAAGCTAAGCCTCGGGCTACCAAAGCTGATTCTGATCTATTATCGATATAACGATTGTAATAATGAATGAATTCTAAAACGCAGCGTCAGAAACTAGGGCAACATCACAATGCTGATATCTGATGGGAGATAGGGTCTAGTATGAGTAAACAGTGTAAGACAAAATCCCACAATATGGAGTTACGATCTCGTAGGACATGCGAGAGGTCAATGGATGCAGGTAGCTAGAGAGCGTGTTTTGTTGGGCCCACGTTTAGCAATGGACTTGTGAGGGGTTTTAATGATGATGGTAGTGGCCCCGACTGATTACTCCGATTGAGTCAGAAATCTGGAGTCGCGTTGGAGTAATAAACCACTCCGTTTATAGCCACTCTTCTTGATTGGTAAATTAACTGAATCTACTAACCTAATTGAAAATATTTTAGAGTTTTTAAAAGATTTTTCTTCTTCTCAATTTGTTTATCAGTAAGGTTTGACGTTCTCCACATATTACCCAAATGATAAATTAAGTTTTTAATATCGGATCTCTTCAGTAATACAATTGTCGCTTTAATCACACCTGTAAACAAGTAGATTATCATTAAATATTAAATAATCAGATCTCAGTGATCTAAATGATACAAAATAATAATGTCATCCAGACTGAAATGCGGATATGGGGTGGAGCTTAAAAAAATATCTAAAGAAATTATGAAGGATGCGTTTTTATATCTTTATGTATGGGACGATTAAAATCCAGTAGTTTTGGGTAATTTATCACAAATTTTGTATTACATGAGTAAAGTAAAATATATAACTCCATTAAGACACACCTTATCGTTTTCCCACTGATACACTATATAGAATGAGTGGTCTACTTACAGTACGAAAACTCTATGTTCTGAATCTCATTATAACGTGCCACAAATCTTTGCCTTATGTCGACCTAAGTCATAAAAGAAAGAAGGATGTTGTTGCCCCCGTCACTGCTGTACGTACTGCTTTTGCCAGAAGACAATATAGAGGTCAGTCCGCCCATATATACAACAAAGTAAATAAAATACTTAAAATATACCCCATGTTATCTCACACTTGCAAGAAAACGTTAATAGAATGGTTGGACTCACTTAGTTATGAAGATGTTGAAAAACTTTTTATAAGAATTAATTAAATCTCCGGTTAAACTTAATGTACCTGTATGCGGGATACCCATACCAATCCCAAGGAACCTCATCCGTAGGGCTTACAGGTGACCAACATACACACGCACACATAAACACACATACACACACACACACACACACACACACACATTAACACACACTCTAAAATATATACACAATAAATAACCCACATTTCTATAATTCTAAGCTTCTAGATATAATATAGTTTAATAGTCTTATTGAGGATACCGTAAGGGAAGTAGCGAGTTATTCCCAACACAAGTGTCTATGACTACTTAAAGGGAAAACTCGACAAATCTTTGTTATAAGACTTTTGAAAATAAAGGAATTTTTTTTTTTTTATTAAGAACATCTCCTTTTTAACTTAGCTGAAAATTTCGTTTATCGGCTTGCAGGCATTAAAGCTTTTGTTCCCTAGGGTTCTTGTCTCAGTCGTCGTGTCGTGCCGACGATCAACGAACTTTTAACCTTTTAATATAATCGCAAATAGTGTTCATTTTACAGTAATGTAGTAACAATGTCATTTATTATTTTCTTGCAGCCTATCAAAAGTCCACTAATAAACATAAACCTTCCCCAAAGATTGATTGCAACATAGACCTCCCCCAAGGAATGCCACAAAATACGGTACTGAGCCACCTGCATCCATCGAATTCCTGCATGTCTTATCAGGACGTCACCCCATCTAGTGGAGGGTCGCCCTTCACTTTGCCTGTCGGTACGAGGCTGCCACTCGAGAACCTTTCTTCCACATCGGTTGTCGGTATTCTTCGAGCTATATGGCCGGCCCATTGCCACTTCAGCATACTAATTCTTTGGGCTATGTCGGTTACTCTGACTTCTTTTCCGTCGTCTCTTACGACACCTACGGGATGACACGAGTTAAAGGATATTATTACGCTGCCAATACATGGCTTTACATGCTGTACACAGTCCACCTGATGGTAACCTTATACTGTGGTCTTTTGCCAACTATATCTAACAGCCATTAAGAATCAAAATGCAGAAACATTTTCACCCCTGAGGATAGTAATATTGGTTCTCTAGATTTAACATACAAAATAGTAGCATGATATTGTTATTTTTCGATAATTTTCTAGGAGAGCGTTGTCCATATCCAATACAGTTGAGCCATCCCGTCATCCATCCAGTTGCAGCATGTCTCTACCACGTAATAAATCATAAAACCAAACAAATACATTACCATTCTAACGTTTTAACTTATACAAATAAGATATAAGAATAACAGTTTAAAGTTACTAACCTTGTATAGAAACCAGACACATAGAAACAATATACGCTACCTCAGACATATGAAATCTTTCTATCAATAGTTTGTGCAAATATGCCAACAGGCAAACATTATATGCCAACACAAATGGTACACTGTAATACGTTCTTAACCATGTAAGTAATTTAGATATATTATTGTTATCAAAGAATGAAATATTACATTTATCGAATAATTTGAAACAAAGTATAAACGATCTTGCAAATTCCTCTGGAAAATTTTCCATTTTTCTTACTTCTTTGCTGTATTATAGTAAACACAAAAGTGACTTAAATATTTTCCTATCGTTAATAATTGTACACGCAAAGAATTAAGAAAGTAAAATTATTTTAGGGTTCAGTTTAGTTTAAATTGGTTCGAAGAAGCTCTTTATAAGACTTTATCGAATTATTGGAAGCTGATAACTGCGCAAAAGCTATTTTTTAATTTTTTGAAAAAAAAAAAACGTAACTTCGATACTCTGTTTTCTCCGGGGCAGTTAATAAACATAAATTGTACAAGATTGTAGGCCATACAAATACTTGTTACGTTCGGGATTCGAACCCGCGGCCACATAAGCCCAGAAACATCTTTTTCTTTCTATTAGAAGAACATATTACCCCTAAGTGGGTTTTCTCCTTTATCGCAATATATGACTTTCTATTCTAAATCTATCAAATATGTAATATTTCGTGATTTATATATTTTTAATGTGTTTCTAAACCAACATAGTTTTATTTTATTTTATTATTAATTATCTTGAAGTTTATTCCTACTATATAAAAAGAACCCCCTATTCTATTGACAGATCAGATGCTACGTCTTACGTGTTTTAAATTAAATAAATATTTAACGAATTTAACAGACGTTTGTCGTTAAATAAATGGATAATTGGGCTGTATACTTTTGCTGATTGTTTTGGTGAAATGACATCAATTAAGAAACGATTGCCGTAAATAATAAAAATATGCTTTTACTCTCACAACTAATTGCGGCCTAATTGTTAAAAATGACAGAAATACTGGCATTGAAATAAAAGCACTTCTGATAAAGATAGTTTAATTCAAAGTTCCAATATATTTCACCTGGAAAAAAATTGTCAGTGCAAGATTGCTATACATTTTATATGCTCAATTATTCTTAGATAGTTTAAATCTGATTTCAAACAAATTATAATCAGTTTTTAAACATCTTAAAAAATCATTAATTCACGTAATTTATTTAATGTATTTGTAATTTTTATTACGTGGTAGAGCCATGCTGCAGCTACATTAGTAGTATAGTTGTAGCACGAATGGGTGGCACGTGGGAAGGACCACGCTCTCACAGAATACCAGCGTCAAATAGCAGCTTCATGCTGCTATGTTTCGTATGGTGAGTGTAGAGAACCGGAGACCTCTTTTTACTGGAAAAGAGGCATTCTATCTTAGTCCTCACGGGTGACAACGCATCTGCATTTTGATTCGCAAACGAGGATAAATGTAGATGTCTATGGGCCACAGCAACCACTTACCATCAGGTGGACTGTGTGCTCGTTTGTTACCTTATCCTATAATATATATATATATATTGGATCATCTATAAAATACCGGTTGGATCGAGAGTGAGCGAGAGGTTGCATCACTCTAGCGTAGCGTCATATCGATGGTATCGAGGTGGAATTGAGGATATATTGAGAAAACCCCACTCGTATGTGACTTATTAAGTTCACTGTAGGCGCCGTGCGCGAGAGATTCCCCTCGAGTCATTGTACGAGTGCTAAGAGAGTATCGTGGTTCTGTTCGGCCTAGTAATTCTTCTGGTGCAGGCAAGGAAGATCGTGTTGCTTAGAGGCTGCTCTGCGTTACACTGAGATATGTGGTATTGATATTGGCTTGCATACTTTGGAGTTATCATGTAATTGCGTCCCTCACGTTACACTGATGTGTGATTATGGCGGAGACGTGTTAGGATGTGGTCGAATTGTAATTTCTCTATACTGAATGTATAGTGCGTTACGCTGTCTTATTACTGGTAACCATTAATTGCGTGTTCAGGAGATCAAGTCGAACATCCGCTCCCACACTTTTACTATGTTTAACAATTTAAAAAAAAAATTTACGATATATATATATATATATATATATATATATATATACTTAGTCAGGTCATAAGTTCTGTCAAAAACTTTTTATGAAATTAATGATACACTTTTTGATAATTATATAGAAATTAGGTATTATATATGAAATCAATCGTAATTTAATTTAGAATACAATTTTATTTACATTATTCGAAATGCCCTCCCCTATTTTTATACATGCCCTTAATCGATGTGACCAATCATCAATCGCAGCACGCACCACATTCATATCTATTTCTGCCGTTGCTTTAGCCAAAGATGCCCGGAAAGATTCCAAATTCTGAGGAGGTTTAGCGCAGACTTTCTCCTCCAAACGTTGCCATATCTTGTAATCCAGTGTGCTTAAATCTGGACTAGAAGAGGGCCAGTATTCATGTCCGATAAAGTGAATTCCACGGGCGGTCAACTAGTTTTGCGTGTTTCGTACCCTATGAGCTGGTGCAGAGTCTTGTTGGAATATCCAATGTCTGTTTTTGAACATTGTTTGAGACAGAGGTTCCACTATGTTCGTTAGGATGGTATTTTGATACACCTCGGCACTGGTTTTTACACCTTTTTCACAGAAAAACACTTCAGTTAAGCCTGAATATGAGTCTCCAGGCCAAACCATGAGTGATGAAGGATAATGTCCTCGTGGAACTCTTGGAATACGCGTGCTGGCTTCTTCACTGCTGCTGGCATACACCTTCTCATTTTATTTATTATAACTTTCTTCGATGTTAAAAATTTTTTCATCCGAAAACAAAATTTCGCGGCATTTTTTCCCGCGTATCGCCATAACAAATCGCGGGATCTATCCAGCAAAATTTTTTTCAAATGCTCGTTCAAAAAATGTCTGGTCGTCTTACGATAAGCTCGTAGTCTTAGGTCTTCATTGATTAGTCTTTTGACTGTGCTTCTGCTTAGACCCATCTAAAGAGCTTAGATTTTTTGTTTACGGACAGGATTTCGTTGGATTCGAGCCTTCACTGCTTTGATGATCGCGAGTGTCGTAACTGTACGGG